AAGTACAGATACACGAAAATTGTACTTAAGTACAGTAACGAAGTACTTGTACTTCGTTACTTCCCACCACTGGTAGCCATACTCACATAAACACGTTGTAATGTGGCAAAGCCAGTTGATGTGCACATTGAATGGCAGCAGAATGTGTATTCTAATACATAAACATTAACAGGTTATGCTAACCTGGAGCCTCTTCATGGTCTGTGAGTCCTGGTCAGCCTTGACCTTGCAGGCCACCAGGAGCTGAGCGGTAGAGGCTGCCACCTGCTTAGCTGAAGAAATGAGCTTCTCCTCACTGGCATGTCCCTGGACCGCAGAGTTGGCTGCTTCACACAGGTTGTTGGTTGCTGCAGCAACCATCCGGGCCTAAATGATCAAGTGGGACCAAAGACAAAACATCTTACAGAGAATGTCTTACACCATCTGAGTTTAAGTTCAAGATGGCTGACTTACAGCTGAAATCAGGCCCTGAGACCACTGCCCATCATCCACTGCATTTGCTGGAATTGCTCCCACCTGAAAATATCAGACAGACTGGAGTTATACTGGATTTATTAGTGTTCTAAGCAGTTCAAACATCAGCAGATTTTACAGCTTTAAAGTGGACAAGAAGAGAAGGAATTTGGCTGATCTGGTTTTTTTTTTTAGGGAAAGCAGAGTGGTGTTGACTACAGTTATATTTTTAAGTGTTGGTGCTGACATACCTTCCCCTGAGCAACAAGCTCTCTCTGAGCTGCTGAAGCTGCTTTGACCAGAGCACTTGTGGCAGCCGCAATCGATTTGGCTGCTTCCAGAATTTGCTCTTCAAAGTTCAAGCTCTCATCTGCCTCCTGTTAATTAGAAGGAAAACCAAGAGATGAGAAATATATTGACTCAGGCCAGTGGACAACTTAAGGCCATGTCTTTACTGAAGGGCCAAACTACTAATATACCCATTTGCTCAAGATAATAGAGTGCTAAATAAATTTGAAATGGAAAGTATAGAAAGGCAGCAGAGCTCACAGCGCATAAGATCTGTAAAGCATGCTGACCGGCAGCCTGAGGTGAGGTTAACAAATTAGGTGTGAATGCCTTTGGCCTGTAAAAGGCCTGGTAACCTTGGGTTTGGTCCTTGGCCTCAGCTGCTCCAGTTTCTTGGCAGCTGCTTCAATAGCGGCTGCGGCTCCCAGCAGCTCGTTCTCTGCGATGACAGTAGGATCCTCGGGGTCCACCCACTCCGTGCCTATAGCACAAAAAAATAACACTGTCTCAGTTTGTACCAAACACAATGTCAGTCTTCACTCTTACCAAAGATACTCAGGCTTCATAAGAAAGCTGAGCTCATGTTAAATATTCCTCCAGACATGAACAATATCCTCTCTGGGAATGAGACAAGCTATCCCTTACAAGAAACTCCTCAAGATACAGAGAATTGATAAAGTCCAACAGGGCTTTTCCCTGATGAGCTACAGGGTATGTTTAACAGAAAAGTGAGCAGTTGTTTTCATGTTGGAGCAGAATTTCAGATTTATTTTTTTTTTACCTCAAACAAGGTATAGAAAGCAGTTTTAGAAAAGGCAGCAGCAGTATGCTGAGCAACACAAACAGCCTCCAGAAGAGCTTAACATTGCCCTGCTTTATGCAGATAGTTAGTGACAGTGTTTTAAATAATTTAAAGTATCATTTATTTTTATTCAACTGTCCAAAGGACATTTTCCAGCATTCATTTTACTATCAGTATTTTATTTTTATTAACCTAAAGCTGAAAATTATTTCACAGTGAGCGACTCTTACAACATCAGCATCATTCAATGTTAAAATGCATTTCCAAACGAAAACAGATCTGTGTGTTAGCAGTCTGCTGTTACAGGTCTGAGCTGCACATACCTTTCATTGCCTCAGCAGCCTGGATGAGCTCAGTGACGCTGCCAGCAACACGCTTGGAGAAGTTGGCAAGCTGCTGCTTCAGATCATGTGTGGGCTTCTGGATGATCTGTGGGTGAAAAACTGCATAAAACTTCCATCCAAGGCTGACTTTTTATTCTTTTCTACACACAAAAATTATGAAAAAGGTTCTTCACATATAGGATTATGTTCAGAAATTAATATCCCATATTTGATTACATAAATGTTTGGACAGCACCATAGCAGCACCAGGTTAAAAAACAGCTACGCTGGACTGAAACATTCAGAACCCGACTGTCTTGAAGATTGTTATGAAGCAGCATCTTAGTCAATTAAACAGGCAGACCCCAGATGATGATGCCATAACTCTGGATACTTGTGATGGGTAAACTGACATGTTAATAGGAGGCAAACCTCAAAGAAACTCCTATACATTAACTAGAATGCTGGTTGAATAAATGACAGCACTTTATCAGAGTCCAAAGTCTGATAACGTACTGCAGTCAGTCATTCACCAACTCATACACACATTCACACACTGATGGTGGTGAGCTACACTGTAGCCACAGCTGCCCTGGGACACACTGACACAGCCCAGGCTGCTATACAACCAGCATCACTGGCCCTAGGGGTGGGCAAGACAGAGTTCAAGTTTTATCACAAAGTTTTGTGGTACTATTGTGATAAAAAATAAAAGTGATAATAAGAAGCATTTATTCCAACAATGGACAATGCCAACAGTTTTAGGGGTCTTTAAATATCATTATCTGGAATTTATCATTGCAACGATAAATGAAAATCTTATGATAAGAAATTTATCACGATAAATGATATAATAAATGCACACTGGCGCTTTGACTATTAGATTTGGCCAGAGCGCCTCACTTGTCAGGTCCTGACGGTCACTTGGAAATAAAAATAGAAAAAACCCCTTGCTTGGAGAAACATAAAAGTTATAAATACACAACCACCTATGTGTTTTTAAATGAAGTCCTTTACAAAAACACTAAGCCTGAAACACACTGAGTAATGTGAGGACTTTAAAGGGGAACAAGAAACAGACCTTCAAAAGAACAAATTAAAATGTTGATGTTAAAAAATTTCTGACAAGATATACAGATAGTATTTTATGTAGTGAAAACTGCTTGTTCATTATCATTTCCATCTTACAGTGCAGTTCAAACCATTAATCTGAAAGTCAGGAGTCTGAAAAATGTAACTTTAAAAGTTATGCAAATGATCCTTATGAAATATGTGCTAAACTTGCCACCTGGTGGCGCTGTGCATAGTGCTTGAATGATCTTGCTCAGAGGGGACAGGGCTTTCTCTGTTGTGGGTCCTAAGTTATGGAATGACTTGCCTTTGCAGGTCAGAGAGGCCCTTTCACTGTCCACTTTTAAAGCTCGTCTTAAAACCCATCTATTTTACTTGGCTTTCAGCTCCAGCGGGATCAAGTTTTAAATTGTATGTTTGTTTGTTTTTAAACTGTAAGAGTTTTTGTTTTTTATTTTTTTTTAATTGTTATGTTGTGTTTTAATGTACAGCACTTTGTATCAGTTGTGGTTGTTTTAAAGTGCTTTAAAAAATAAAGTCGGTATGGTATGGTATCTTGTGCTTTATGTTTCGTCTGGCCAAGCAGAACTTAAACAATAAGCCATGTAGATGGAAGACACTTATTTTCTTCTCTGCTATATCTTAGATTTTGAAATGTAGGTGAGATTATGTCTGAGAGCAGGTTATTGTTTTACAGGCGATTGGGTATGGTTTTGGACGGATCGTCGATGCCATGTGGAGAGCAGATGATGTATGAAACTTTGACTTAGTGTAACATCTCAAGTAACACCAAAGTGAATTCAAATCTCTCATCACACTAAATGGAATACAATCAGCTAAAGTCTGAACCAAAAGATCTCACTGATTTCATACTCTGAGGCAGCAGCTGTTCAGACAGAACAGGCCTTTCAGTCACCAAGTAATGGGTGTTGCGCAAAATACAGAAACTTCACATGAATGGAAGTATTATTATATTATTTAGAGACTTATGCACTCTAAATAATATAAAATCAGTGCTTTTTATTCAAGAAAGCATGGTAATGGCAAAAGGAAGCAGAGAAAGAATCTGGTTCTAAAATTGACTAACTATTAACTTGTATTGCAGCCATCTTGCTCAACTCACATTTAGAATGCATTGTTATAACATGACAGCAAACCCCAAACATAAATATCTACAGCCATTAGAAGACTGAGTGACAAGAACAGCAGACCACTGGGATACGTTGGTGCTCTGATATAGCTGGGGCTCAGCTGGTGTCCTTACACTGTCCTAGAAGGGAAATATCCAGGTTGGAGCAGTGTGCAACAGGTGCAGGGAATTAACAGAGCTTAGGCCATACTCAGCTCAACTTTATTCAGATGTGATGTCAAAAGACGATTGACATTATACCTTAGGAATGTATGCAGGGAGCCAAGTTAATGCCGACAGCAAACAAATGCTCCCCAACAACAATCTGATGTTAATACAATGTGTGTGTAGTCAGGACACACCTGGTGGATCATCATGAGGAAATTATTCTTTCTGAATATGAAATACTTGGGTTCAGACAAAATCAAATATCTGTAAGCTTTATTAAGAGTAGTATGATATTTAGGGATTTATAGGTTTTATTCTTCATCCTTTATGGTAAAACATTAGCAAAACCAGCCAGCTAATGACACCGACATGCACAATCATTATTAAGAGATTGAATCGTATTATGTTCTAACCTCAAATCACTACAGAAAGACACACCTACAGTCAGCAGTACACACACAAAAGGCCTACACACCTGCAATTCAGAATACTGATGCATTATTGTGAGTGGGGGTGACACTGAATGGTCAGACTACTTTTCAAACAACACAGCCCCACACATGTGCACTTCAGTCATGCTGTGTACTCACTACTCACCGGCTAGCCCCAACATCATTGAGATACCAGTTTTAAGAAACATAGGCAAACCATTGGGGGGGGGAAGAGAATGAAAATGTCAAATCAGACATTCTGTGAGAATTGTGCTCTGGGGTACAATTGAGGGTCAGATGACATAAAGCTGAAGAGTTCCCAGGAAAAGATCTTGAAGGTATGCAAAGCTGCATCTGAATGAAGCAAAAATGTTTCTGGAACTTACTATGTATATATTTCTCCATTGGAGAAACTTGTGTGACTGCCAAAAAGGAACATAAGGTCCTTTAAATTATTATTTAAAAACTTAAAGGTGCAGTATGTAATTTTTATAAAAATATGTTTTTTACATATTTGTTAAAACTGTTGCCACATCATGACTGTGTAATATGAGACAGATATCTGTGTAAAAAAAAAAAAAAAAAAAAAAAAAAAAAAAAAAAAAAAACCCCCCCCCCCCCCCACAAAAAAACCCCCCACCCAGAAAAAAAAAAAACAAAAAAAAGAAGGG